TTTTTCCATTCTATTTGAACAACTCTCATTTTGATCACGAAACGACAACGGAGTTTCTCCTCCGTCCCCCTCTCCTCCCTTCTGTCCTCCTCTGCCGCTACGTCCTCGGGCTGGTGAGTGTTGATATTTACTTGGGTTTTTGTTTATCTTTTTGTCAAAGTTACAAAAAAGTATAAGCCTTATACAACAATACACCCAACACGGTACATGAATACTAAAATACTAATAAATTTACATATGTAAAAACAAAGGTATACCACATCAGAGAAATAAAAGGTAGGTTTTACGGGCTAACCTACGACTAAATCTCAGGTGTAAATTTCTTTCCTTATGAATTGGCCCCCCTACGTACCGCGCCGGCCTGCGGGGAGGATATCGCTCAGAACCTCCGCAGCGCGCCCGGTGACCCACAGCGGTACCTTATCTATCAAACGTCTAAAAAATTTATCAATCTGGGTAGAGGTATACACAGAAAACGCCCATCATCTAAATTCCTGATCTCCGTAGTGACACACACAGTCGTTGCGATCAACTGTCTTATTTAGGCTCCGTTTTACCGTGTTTAGTTTACCACCACCGACGCCTCCCCTGCTCCCCCAGTAAATTGTCGCGTCATCCCTCGCCTTCGCAATGAAACGACAAATCACAGGGTCCATCTTCTCTCTTCTCCCCTTCTAGACATGTTGTTTGTATTATTCATGCGTATTTTACTAATCACTACCCCCTCAAATGGAAATATGTGTTTACATAAATGGTGACCGAACCGTTTGAGACCCACTGAGATAACTTAAACTAAGTTAACTATCTAAAGACTCAGAGAGTAATTTACCTCACCAGAGCTGTAGTTATCAGCCTCTCAGTCTGACAGCAAAGGACTCTCCCTCCACCTTGTTGTTGAAACAGCTCCTTATATCCGTTAGCGCAGCTAGCTAGCACCAGATGCTAACAACAATACACGTAACCGGTGCGCGCGCTTTCTCGCTCGCTCGCGCCACACATACACCAACACACACCCTCCCGAGCTTGAATGACACACAGAGACCAATCGAGGGCATTAGTATGATCTGTATGAAAGTGGCAATGTCGGCAGGCCACGTCATGTAGACAGCCAGTCACCCTCTGTGAGGCAGTCAGACCCACATTTGCGCTGCGTTGCGTTTACAATATATACGTATATTGCCGGCGGCTGAGTACCGGCACAGTAAGAAGTGCCGGTACCACATGGGTAAAAATCAGAAGTGCCGGTACTGCGTACCGGTGAGTACCGGCCCAATTCAAGCACTTGTTGTGATTATAATTACTTGTACTGGATTTCTATCGCAGCTGAAGCGAAAATCAACAAATACCACCTACTGTCAGTGAATCCCCCAGGGCAGCAATGACTTTGATATCTGCCGCCTTCACAAACTCAACTAGAGAGGAAGATGAAAGAGAATACATTAATATACAGTTTTAACTTTTGGATAACATTGATTTAGTGGCCAATTTGGATTTGACCTTGACTGACCTGAGGAGGGGACAGAGGGAGAAGGGCGCATGTCCGGACACTGGAACACAGGATGTTTGAAACTCACCGGTCGAGTTTTCTCTGGGAACTCCTGAGAGAGACAACTCATCAATGTCAGATCTATACATTTGAATCCATCTTTTTTTTCAAAAATGCATCTTACAAAATGTCAGTATAGGAACAGCCTTGAGATGGAAGTTGATTATCCTGCTTTTTTAGGCCCCGTCCGCACGGAGACGAAACAGGTGTTATCCGCTATAGTTCTTTATCATATGGACGGTTCGTCCACACGAGGCCGTAACGGAACCGCGGAAACGGAGCCCTCAAACGATAACGCATTCTAAAGTGGGAAGGTCTGGTAACGTAACGCTTGTGGCACTGTGTGTACGCCCTAAACGATCATAGCCCCGCCTACTCACCCCTGCGTCATTGCTGATGTGTTTCGCCAACAACAATGGTGGATCACAGGGTTGCGTTCGTGCGGTGGCACCGCGGAGAATAACCAGAAGAGCAACCAGGCAACCATGGCAACCATGCTCGGGGGGCCTTATTCGCTGCTTTTGGTGTATTTTGTGGCGGAAGTACGCCACTTACAGGCCCGGCATATGTACTACAGCGTCTCCAGCGGGTCGAGCGGTCTCGTGTAGACGGACACGTTTCTTGTGCCGTTTTTGTGTGGACGGAAGACTTTGTTGATATCGACCTCGGTTCGTTTTCGTCTCCGTGTGGACGGGGCCTTAATCTTCTTTATTTCTCCTTTAAAGAGGCTCTATTATGCTACATTAGTACCTCAGCTCTGCAACACACATCATTACTTCACTCTTGCTTCTATTGGCTAGCGCTCCAACACATTGTATAGGCTAAGGGGCAGAATATGGACCCTTTAACTTGTTGATACCTTATGAAGCTACGTTATGTTTTCACAGTGTGTGCTCATTCTCAACATGCCTGCTGGTCCGTGTGGTACAGTCAGTTTTTATAAAATGATAACCTGCCTCTTGTGTGTATATAAAAAGTCAACGGGTATTCACTTTTTACATTTAGCTTTTGTTGTTTCCATTTTGTCCAATTGTCTTTTGAAAAGTATTTTGGTCACAGTGGTGGGTGTTCCAAAATAAAAACAGCAACACAATTATAGACTGCCATGAGAAAAATACGTATACAATATTTTTGTATCATTATCCGGTGTTTGACCGTGACACATTAACATGTTCAGTGCTGAAACCTGGTGAACACAGTACCTTGTTGAGGGCCTCTTGACTGTAGTGTCGTATCCCCTCCTCATACTCCCACCACCAGTCGTTGCCTTAAGAGATAAACATCTTTTGCTAATCCAAACTTTTCAACTAGCCTAATGAGCCAGTTCTTAACACATGTTCATTATTTAAACAATGTCCTTTAGAGCAGAAAAAAAGTATTTTTTAGAAAGCATGTCGGTGTTCACTTATATAAATGTATTTTTTTACAATATTATGCACACTATAAACACTCTTGTCTAATAACAGGCCCTGTTTTAGAGGCAGTTAAATGGTAAATAGGCACACAGCCCTCTTGCTTGTTCTAGCGCTTACCTTTGACACAGCAGGACGTGAGCATACATGTTGCCACGACGATCCAAAGCCGCTCCATAGTAGTGCGTACGGACCAGTCAATGGGTTCCCCCTACACACTGCACAATGTGATGCTCAGCAGTACAGAGCTGTCACTTTGACCCCCACCCATCTAAAGCTGAGTGACAAGCTGGGGGTCCACTGAGAGCCAACTATCAACGTCAGCAAAACCCAACAAAAATAACAACATTTCATAGGTTTTCCATATCATAAAGTTCGTGAAGAACTTATCTTTTGTACCAAACAATAAAGAAAACATTCACATCCATTAAATATCCATATATCATTTATTAATTTCTTTATAAACTTGTATTTGTGATGGTAAAAATGCAGTCTTGTCGACAATCGTGACCGAGTGTTTCTTTTTTTAGACAAATTGAGAACTGTGTGTGGTATGTATGTTTGGAATCATTTCTCATCCTCGTCCCTTTTTTACTTCATGCAGACATATTGGCGGATCACCTCTCAATAACCAACAACAAGCACGTACTGTGGAGCTGAACAAATGGACTAAACAGAATGAAAAATGCATGTGGCAAAATCAGATGTCCCTCATGTTGTTTGGATAAATACGGCCTAAACCATGGCTTCATCTCTCAGAGTCCATCTGAGCTGAAAGGTGTTGGCAGAAATCCAACTTGGACTTTTGGTGAGGGGGTGGAATATTCTCACAAGTTATGTAACCAAACACAAAGAAAAACAAGTATCCACAAACAATTCAGAGTTTGAGGCGCTGCTTTCTTTAAGGCTGCTCCAATTTCTGCTAGTTAATTCTTAATAAACTAAAAAGAAGGCGGAAATGGGTTGAGAGAAATCATTGATATGACGACAACTAGAATGAAAATAAAGCCTGTTGATGAAATAAAATAGTAAAAAAAACTGTTCTCTGCTTCATTTCACTGTGTAGATCATATTTAATTCGTTTTTTTATTCTTTCAAATATTTTAAAAGCCTATGTTCTACGATTTCACTCCCCAAAAAGACTCATTCATTTTGATCTGTTTCTGGGATGAGGATTAAGCAGCTTCTCCTTCTTTGTATCTGCTATTTTGTAACACACTTCAACCCGTGAGCTCAACATTAAATCATCTATCCTGCACAGATATCCTATCCATTAAAGTACACTGCTTTAGAGGTTACTCGCTCTCATTCTAATGATAATCATGGCTTTAAAACATTGGAGCACATTATGTTAAATTCATTTTCCTTTCTTCTTATTGCAGGTGTGAAAAGGTAATGACCCGACATATCAACTAAACAAATAACCCATTATTGCGATGCAAATTGGTTCACTGTGGCTAAAATTAAAGTCAAAATGTTCAGACGACACATGCAAAAACGTTCTTTACCAACTAGCAAATAAAAATGATCTGAATTTACATTTTCCTGCCTGATATTTTTTTTCTAAATTAGGATTGAGGCAGTTCCGCTGAGTGTGATTTCCTCCAAAAAAAAAAAAAAAAATGGGAAAGTGAGAAGAAACTAACGCACATTTTAGATTCCAACTATTTTGATTAGTCCAAACATCCTTTGATCTGGCAACCAAAGAGCTGTTTGTCATGGTGGGAGCACAGGTGCTTCTTCTGGCAGTGTCCTGAGTCACAGACTAGCAAGTCCCAAGTCTGTGTTATCCTCCCCCAGCACTCTGTTCTGTCCAGAAACACCCCCGCTGTCTCTCTTCAGCACAGGACCAGCTCATTTCAAAAGGAGAGAGGGAGATGTGGGACTGCAGAGCTCAGCAGTCACTATCTGTCAGCTGTGGAGCGAAGAGAGGCGCTGAGGCTAGCAGGTATTCAGCTAGTGAGCGCCATCTGCTCCACGGAGAGTCTCTCACTGCCCTCGCTCCGGCTGGCCTCCTCTCACTGCTGCTCCTCCTCCTCCTCCTCCTCCTCCGCCTGGGCCGGGCCCGGGGCGTCCCCCTGGTCCTGGGGCTCGGCCTGGGGTTGCGATGGCTCTTGAGGGGGTCTGGGAGGTGGCGGGGGCGCAGGGGCGGGGGCAGGGGGACGAGGGGGAACTATGATTTGGTGCTGGCGCTGCCTGTAGGCGATGACCGTGCCCAACAGCAGGGCGATGACCGTCATGAGGTAGAGGTCCCACTCGGGGCCCAGCAGCTGGTCCAGGTCCACCTCAGTGATCAGCTCCTTTAACTGACAGGGGGAGAGGGAGGACAAAGACATTTCATTTCCCTCTAATGAAGTGGCTTTTAACTTGGTTGCATTAACATTAAGACTTTCTTTTTAAAAGCCAAATTGTCCGAGCTCCAGCGTGAGTACTCACATTAAGATCACTCACATTAAGATCCTGCAGGTACTGCAGAGTGTAAACCAGGCCCAGCTTGCACAGAGCCATGAACACCGGGACCTGAGCATCAGGACTGGCTTCAGCCGCCATGTCGTAGAAACGCTTGGCTAAATGGATGTCCTGCAAAACAACAAGAAACAATTCTCATCATCAATTTCTTTCTAGTATATTTGACAGCATACAGAGATGTTTTTCTAACTTTTCTATTAGGGAAAATTGAAGGAAAAAAAATGGACCAATAAATAACACATTTCCTCAAAAGCTGCAGCAAGAGAAAAGGACCTTCTTGTTGTAAAATGCTAGAGAACTTCAGCATTGACAACATAATAGGTGTGTTGGTGTGTGTGCATGTATGTGTCTCGCTGGGATGTTATGGTGTGTTCTGCTGTATGGAAATTTGACTGGAAAAATCTGATTTCTGAGACAGACCAGACATGAACAATAATGTGATGAGTGATTATGAGTCAACCATTGAAAACCATCTGATGTGTTAGAGTCCCAGTGAGGCTCTGTTCCCACCTGTTTGATGCCCAGCCCCTTCTCATGCATGTACCCCAGGTTAAACATGGCCTGGGCGCTGTGCTGCTGCTCTGAGGCCAGCCTGTAGTGGATGACCGCCGTCTCATAGTCCACGTCCGTCCCGTAGCCGTAGAAATGGTAGTCTCCTAGTTTTATCCTCGCCACAGTGTAACCTGGGAATGAGAATTTGTTTTTTTTAGCAGCCAGGTTCAACTACTTTTTGTAATGTTAACCAATTATACATGGATTCCCAACTTTGTGTGCGTGCGTGCGTGTGTGAGTGTACTCACCTTGTGCAGCAGCTCTGGTCCAGTGCAGCAAAGCACGAGGGTAGGTCTCATTCTCAGTGAAGATCCTCACACCTTCTGTGTGTTACAATTCAAAGAAATAAGAAAGGTTAGGATGTTGTTGCTTCTCCCATAGTTGTTGGCGTGTCAACTGTTTTAGAGAGTTTGCATGATAAAAAAAACACACAATTTGCCAAAATTGGTTTCACTAAAGCAATGTTGCTGCTGCATACCAAGAAGCTAACCAACTGTGATTGTTTAAAGAATGTTTGCTTATAGAAACGTTTCTTTAAATGCATAACTAAACTGTTTGAGAATCAGAATTCTATGTTTACTCAGGAGGAAATTGGTTTTCATAAAACATAATTAATTTTTATAATAAAATAAAAATGTTTGATGAATAAGAGGGAAAAGTAAGAATGTGCAATACAAAATAAAATAAAGATATATATAAACAAAGAGAGCTAAAGTAAAAATGTGCACAATGTACTACAATGCATAGCATGTTTTTTACACTATATACAGTAGTGTATTATTAAGATATTAATGCTGAATGAACAGTTTTAAATGATTTTGCTGCTAGTGCCAATCTATTGACTTGGCGCCTTATGCACATATCATGGGATTTGAACTAAAACACAACTCCTTTCCTTCCTGCCATGATACCAATGTCCTGCCTTCTCTTACTCTGGTCCAGGATGAAGGCCACGTTGCTCTGGGCGACCTCGTAGCCCTGCTCAGCCAGCAGCAGGTACTGCACCAGCGCGGCGTCCGGCTCCCCCTCCTTAAAGCTGCCGTAGGCCGACATGAGACGCTCCGACCAGCGGCCGCGCTCACACACGTTCTTGAAGAGCTGCAACAGAGATACACACACGTGGTATGACACAACAAAAATCTGGGTCTAAGCAACAGCGGAGTCACATCCAACAGAGAGTATATATAATTATAATCACCTCCACAGCTGTGTGGCAGGAGCGCATCACTCCGGTACCGGTGGCGTGCATCTGGGCCAGGTTGTAGAAGGCCAGGATGTGACCCGCCTGGGAGGCCAGGTTGAAGAATTTAAGCGCCTGCTTGTAGTCACGCTTCACACCAATGCCATCTGAGGAACGACAGGAAGAGGAGGATTCAAAACAGAGAATCAAATGAAAGTGTATATCATGAGAAGAAATTCAAGAGAAAGAGATCGAGGGCTGACAAATAGAAACTGGTTATTCGATCTTCAGATGCAGTTCAATATTTACAGCAAGCAGGCGCTATGAAGAGGCCGTGACACACACTAAGTAAGCACTCACTGTAATACATGGTGCCCAGCTGCAGCTGTCCGTCCACCCAGCCCTGCTCTGCTGCCTTCTGGAAGTACTTCAGGGCCAGCTCATAGTTCTGAAAACACACATCACACACACTTTCAAACATCTCTGATTTTAGCAAGAGGGAGTAGCTTCCAGGTGAGCAACACAGAGTAAAAGCTTAGAATCAAAAGTGCATAATAAACGTAGACATAATTTAGAAAAGGATTGTATTGTGTAAAGTTGCTTACCACCGGTACACCTCTTCCATATAGGTAGGCCATGCCTAAGCCACTCTGTCCCACTGGATTACCCTGGATTTGAAAAGAAATGTAAAAAAGCACGAGTTAATTAAAAAGGAATGCATCCAAGATATTAATGATAGTGAATCCCAACTGAATAACATATCAGCTAAGAGTTCAAAGGAACAGAAACCCGTTTTCTCTTGAATAATAACTGTCATTATAACGCTCATACAAACACTAAAGGGTACATTTATGATGATGCATTGAGGCCATTCAAAGGTAAAGAAATAATAATAATTCTGAGCTTAGATCTTGTAAATTCAAGAACTTGGATGTTAAAGAGCAACTTCCAGGTTAAAGAAACCTGTGAATAAATGTGTAGGAAAATGATGAATACACTAGATTTTCAAAAAGATATACAGAAATATACACTACAGTGA